TGGGCAGGTCGGAGCCACCCCGGTCGCGTCACCGCCCTCCGCCCATTCCCGCGCAGACAGCCAAACCACGACCACAGAGTCTCGCTGCGGGCGGCGCCTAGAGCGGCTCCTGCCAAGGCCTCCCAGACCTGGTGGTTGCTGACTCAGGGAAATGGAACTGAGTTGTTGTCGTGGCCGGAGGCTGCAGTTTGGAGAACAGCCCGCAGGCGTGGCGCTTGAGGACTCCTCACTGCAATGGAAGTTCATTTCCTTTTGATTTGCTTGTGTGGAAGTCATGTCATTTCCTCCCTGAGAATATAGCCCTGATGGATATTTTAGATCGTTTACTTAAAGCAAAGATCCCTAGGCCAACAGAGGGAACCCTTTTTGCTACCCTCTCAAGGCTGACCGAGGTATTTCAAGGAATGAAGAAAGGACAAAACAACTTATTTCATTATCTCATAGTAAGACAAGCAAGAAGAGGACAGTAAAATTTGACATGTGTATAATGTAGAACGTCCTTTTTCATTCGCTATCTCACTTCATTCTGACGACAACTATCAAATACAGAAGTAGATTTTACAGAGAAATTGAAGCTCTGCTACGTTCAATGACGTGGCTAGGTTTCTACAGCTCATATAAGGTAGGGACTAATTGAAACCAGTCCTTTCATTCTAAATTCTAAACTCTGTCCACTATCACAAAAGAACCACTTTCATTGTGATTATGCCCCCCAACATTCTATTTTAATTGGGTAGAGGGGTCTTCCTACACAATTGGATGTTCTTTTATTTATGACAGAGAGATGTATATTGACGCCCAGAAGTAACGATGATGACCTTGATATCACCTGTCCTCTTTTATACTGCTTACTACACTCTATTTTTTGTCCACTTTTCACCCGATTGCAAGGTCCTGGAGGCCAGGGGCTAATTCATAATCATTTTTGTATCCCTCGCTCCTGGCCTGGGGGACACTCAGAATCTACTAAGTGAGTTAATCCGGGAGAAAAAGCTTGGCACTTTGATTTGAACCCATCCAATTTTCTCCCATGAATACCCTCTCCCCATTTTGAAATTTATATCCTGAGGCTCTTGAAAGCCGCGAACTGAAAAACCACGGACTTCAAAGTGTGGAAAGGCAGGCTGGAAAGAATTGAAATTCTGGCAGGCAGCTCACCCCATGGCTCTGTGTTTGACAAAACCACGGAGTCTCCAACGCTGCTCTAAGGCCCAGATGTCCTACGTGGACGGAGACTTCTGGCTTCCCAGATCCGGATACGAGCTTTTCCAACCATTCGTTTATTCTTTGAACATACCCTCCAGACAATTACATCTCTATCCTGTAAAAGCCCTTGCTGCAATTTTGTTTCTCTTTCTAAATGTTTTCGTTAGAAAACTCCCGAGGAAATAGCAGGAAGGCAATCCCCTCCTGCCTGAGGTATCTGGGGGGCAGCGGCCTAGCGTTCATGTCTCGGGTCACCCAAGGGCCAGTTGTTAGACAGCAGAGCCGAGGGCCGGAGCTCCCGCGTTCGCTGAGCTCAGCAGCCCCGTCTTCCCCAGAGCTACCGCAGCGGGGAGCTTTCAGGGCGTGGCCACCCCACCTTCCAACGCCAGCACCCTGTGGTTCCTAATTCCTGCAGCCCCGAAAACGACTCCCTTTTTGCACTAAAAAAACTCAGACCTAGAGGAAAGTCATCTTGGCAAGGTCATTTTCATAAAACGCCCCAAATCCGAAACACCCCAAACCAGTATCCACCCATCCGCCCCTTCCTTTTTGCAGTGCGGACAACAATGGAGGACTACAACTCCCAGAGAGGACTGCGCTCGTTCGCCCGAGCAGAGGCCAATGGTCGGCGGCTGCCTGACCGGCGTCGGCTAATCAGGGCCCGCCTCGCGGAGGCTTTGG